TCTTCTCTGTATCGTTCCAATTTTAGTATATGTGCTGCCGTTAAGCGAGCACGTCTACGGAGAAGGTCTGTTTTCGTATATATCAGAATCTATTGTTTGTTGCTCAACCAAGTGGGACAAGATCAAAGTTGACCTCTAGGAACTTTCAGGGTTCCGACCAACCCACTACGCATGCGTTTAATTGAGGCGAACACTTCCGTATATGTCCATGTTACTGAGTGACTTCTGAAATTTTTCTGCATTTTTTCTGAATTTTTTTACAAGAACGTGACGAGTTTGAGTTGGTTAAAAAGTCTGATATTTCTGCATCCCATATGTAAATTCCGCGCTAGACTAGAACAATGCTCAAGATTAGTACGCATTCTCTTTGAAGTCAATATTATTTCCATTTATTATTGGTATATATTTTGAGCTCTAGTCCGTTTCTCCTTTTCAGGGCTTCCATTCTCTCTTTACAAATTTACCAACCAATAACCCAATAAGACCCTATAACTTCCCGATGTAAACATCTTCATGATAACAAAATTTGACTTGCTATTTATACCAATCAGTTACTTCTCGAGAATGTTTAAAACTAATCAGTTTTGTACTTCTGCTGTTGTTGCAACACACCATTCAAACGGAATCAAAACGTTTTCCAAACGTCGTCATGACGTTATTCTGCCGTTGAATAAAGGAATTTCAAGCGGTATCCTTCAGAGAGCGTGCGTATTGAGTATAAGTTTTCAATATGGCGGACGAAGACGAGCAGATTTCCATCTGACTTGTAATAGTGATATTCCAAACTGTTTAAAATGATCATTAGCATGTGAAGAACGAGCCATCTTGTCTACGAAATGTACGAAATGACTGCCCAATCTTGTGCATCATGAAGGTACTCTGTAACTTATTTTTCGTATTTTTTACCCGTTGATAAGTGTGGAGCTTCTTAGTTTGAGTGCGGTAAAATAGAAGACATTTCAAATAAAATATAGCTAATTAGATCTTGTAAAACTTTTCTATCGTCTTTTAATGAGCACACACAAGAGTCTGAATGGGAATCAATCGTTGTGATAATTTTGTATTGAAATTTTATCTCGTTTCATCTCTCCGAGCTCTTGCCGATCCACTGCATCGTCAGGCATCATCGATAGTTTTTTTACCTCTTGCAGCGATTAAATTTCATTGTCCTTCTGCGCGTAAACTTTTTGACTTAATTCCCCCTTCCTTTACTCTGAATGCTTTAGAGATAAGGGTGTTAAATAGTTTCAGCGTGCAAAGCAGTACTTATTTATAAATCTTTACACCCTTACATCAGTATGCATATTCTCCATAATTTTCTACAAACGTTTCCTTAGGTGCTAGCGCTGACGAGGAGAGTTTGCCTAAAATTAAGAGCCTCTTTATTTTACCTTTCAGATATTTAAGACCCATATATTTGTAAAAACAAACAAAAAAAAAATTCAAAGACTGCTGGACCTCTGCCATTTTCCCCATCTAAAAACAGAATTGTCCAGGGGATATCCTTTCAACTATGCAATGTGTGGACTGAAGAACAACGAACTGAGCCACATGACCTATTACTATTTTTTTTCCATATTTAATTCTACTCTATATTTATTTTGTGAAAACCTATCAGTTTTTAGGGACCATCAAAGTTTTAAAAACAAAACAAAGACTACTGGACCTCTGCCATTTTCCCCATCTAAAGGCAGAATTGTCCAAGCCATTTGCATGAAATTATGGGACGTGTACTGAAGAACATGGAATTGGGCCTCTTGACCCCTAGAACTCAGTTTTCCTAATTTTATCCTCTTCTTTCCATGGAATAAGCAATTTTCAGCAGAGTCCTTTAAAGACTGAGCATATGGAGTACAACTTTTAAAGTTGGCAAACAAAGGCAATTTCATTCTCTTCAGCGAGTGTCCAACATGGCTTTTTGTTTAGATAGTTTCCATTTTTATATGATGTCTTTCTTAAAGATGAAAAAGCGAGACTCGCTCTCTTTATAGCCAGTTCATGGGGAGCCTTGCATGCTGTATATTGACTGAGAGGGACTGCGGAGACCAACCAACTCATTGATTCTTTGATTTTCAATTTGTCCTTGGCAACAGATGTGCTTGGTGTCCTACTATTCAGGGAAGAAATGCTATCCTCTGCATGGCTTGAGCAGAAGTAGCACCAACCATGCATCCTATGTGCCCCTAAACATGAAAGGGGAGGAGTAAGGTCAAAGTAAAAACATGAATTCCAGAAAAATTATATAATCATACAGTTGTAAACAAAGGACGTCAGGTTGCAGACTCACTTGCTACTCCTTTGAGAGCTTAAGGTACAAATAAATAAAAATGCTACACAGCTCCCATGAATGCAAAGTTAAAAAGCTTGAAAGCCAAAAGATATACTCTACAATCATCAAAACCTATGCATCCTTGCAAAAGTAGGGTCAATTACCCCTACACATCCTCTCATACATTCATACTTGCAGGAAATCATTTTTTTTTAGGGACTACTGATGCCACTGTACTTACATTGGTAGTTCAATGCCAAACACAATAACATTTTCTTTCAGTTATCTCATAGTATGTGACTGCACAGGTCATATGGAAGGTACATTCCTGTATAGGGACTGACATTTGAATTACCATAAAAAAACTGTAATCATCAGAATTACAGGCCAAGACTATTAACAAATGCTTAAGTTTCCTAAGTCACCTTTGCCACAGTCAAGGTCACTCCACCTCAGGGCTATCTTCAGCAGGACCATCCTGTTACATGTGGAAACAACAACTATTACTCATATATTCAAATTTATTGAATCAGAATTTATTACTCTTTTTGTAACCTCGGGTTTCTTTTATTTGTGCTCCAGAAACAGAGAATGATGTTGAAGAAACTGGAACAAAGTTATTGAAACTTATTCTGTATTAAAGAAATTTAGTAATGGATGTTGCAACAACAAAAACCTGCAGTTGATTAAAAAAAGACTCAATGTGTTTTTGCTACTATCATTCTACTTGTAAATATCACAAACCAATCATCAAACCAAACCTCATCAAATTTGATCAATATAATACCCACTTCAGTATGATATTTTTTATCTTGTTTACTTTTTGCTTTATACCATGATATTTAAAAGCCCTCAGGGTATACAGCTAGTGTGCAGTGAAGCAGTTAGTCTAAATTGGTGTTTAATAAAATAAAACAAAAGCTTTAAGCTGTGGTCTGGATCTTAATATAACAATTGGCTTGAAAAAATCTAAATCTAAAACTTCTAAATTGTTTAATCGGTACCTATCTTCGGGAAATTTGCAAATCAGTTGCAACTCATTTGCTTGTCCTGCTACGAATTCTTCTTGAACACCTCATCCACTTCTCTTGTGCAGCCAAGCATCGAATCTCTATTGTTAAGAAGTCTAAATTTCGGCATTATCGCGATCGATGGCTGAAAGATATATACGAAAAGAAAAACCTCGAAGGCAAAATGATCGAGCGTGCACTGATTTTAAGAATAACTTTTGGCTTATAACTGCCCTAAACAGGGTCTCATGATACATATAATAACAAACGATGTCTCTGTTGATCTCACAGTCTTCTAATGACTTTTTAGATTGCTTTTCCAAATTCCATCCCTCAAAAGTGAGAGTACGTAAGGGGCCCATAAGAAGGTCCACTGTATATTTGTTTTTGTTAACTCGCAAATTGGCCAATCACATCCACTCGTTTTGGTTAATTCAAATCGAGTGGATGTGATTGGTCGAAGATTTCTAATGTACAGGATGTGATTGGCTGCCACTCAGCATGTTCCTCCGACCATTCGGAGTGGATATCTAAACGAGTGGATAAATCTGAAAATTCTAAATTAAGCTTATCGGTAGCTCATTCACTTATCCTGTTACTCCGAATTATTCTTGAACATCTCATCTGCCTCTCTTGTGTAGCTAAGCATCGAATCTCAATTGGTAAGAAGTCAAACCTTCGGCATTCCCGCGATCGATGGCTGAAAGATATGAACAGAAAGAAAAACCTCAAAGGTAAAACGATCGAACGTGTACACCTCTCCCAGGAATATCTTTTGGTAGCAAAAATTTCTCTAACGGATTGTTATAAACGATATAAGAAAGCGCGACAGTTTTTTGATCTCACACTCTTCAATGACTTTTTATCGCTTTTCCAGAATTCCATTTTACGATTCAAAATCTCAAATGTAAGAGAGCGACCGAGGTAGATTTGTTGTTGTTAGCTCACAAATTGGCCAATCACATCCACTCGTTTGGTTAATTGAAATCGAGTGGATGTGATTGGTGGAAGATTCCTAATGTACAGGATGTGAATGGCTAACTCCTGGTCTCTGTGTAAGCTTCCTGTGGAAAAAGGGATTCCTTTAAACGGGTATAGGCCGCCCGCAAGACAAGAAGGAATAGATAGTTCCTCAAACTCTTCTTCTAAGGAATGAATTCAAGAGAAAGTGTTACTTTTATCAGTCGCAAAAAATGGTCACTTGGCATCGTTGGTGATGTACATGGAACATGTTCACCCATTTCAATGCCTTCACGGCTGTCATAGAGAACGTTTGGCGATTGATGAAGCACTTTACTCCGTGACTGTTTTTCAGTGATTCCTGTGTTAGGGAAATGTGGCGAAACGACACGAGTCGCGCTGAGAAAAGCTCTCGAATGTCTCGCTTGTCATCCACGCGTCAGGCTGTTAGCGCGCGCCACACTTTCAAGGGCGATCGTGGACTCTTTCGCGAACTCTTGGGAGAGCGATGCTCGATGCGCTTTTGTACTTCAAAGTTCATTACAGACATTTGATGCAAAACTTTGTAGTTTTTCAAACAATTTTGCAGGAAATGTCTTCAGTGAACCTAGAAGTATAGAAACACTTAGCGCAGCCCTCTCGCAAGAGTCCACGATCACGCTTGAACGCGTGGCGCGTGGTACCAACCTGATACACGCGTGAATCATAAACGAGGCATTCGAAAGCGTGGCGCGTGGTAAGAGCCTAATGCACGCGTGGATCACAAACGAGGCACTCGGGACCGTTTCTCAGCGTGATTCCTGACTTTTTGCTGCAATTCCCGAGCACAAGTCTCAAAATTCACATTACAATGAAATGTGTTTACATCCAGTCCACTGGAAAATAAGTTGAATGAAGCAGAATGCGCTTCTAAAGGAATTCCCCTCTTTGTCCCGTTTTCTCACGGAGAGGCAACAGTCCCGGCCCCTTAGTCGAATCCGCTCCACATTAAATACACAAGACATCTTTAATGATAAAACGCAAACCGTAACTTGTTCCGATGTTTTCCGTGCTACTCTCTCTCCTTATTTTTCCATGGAATACATTTTGAAATAAAAACTCTTAAGCCCGGCCCCGTCCGAGGAATAGTGCATTCACGAGACTAGTACGAGTGCTCGCAAATCTTCAAGCAATGTAGCGCGCTCGCCCCTCCGAGGACATCGAGCGTGCGTGTGAACTGTCCTGCCAAAGTATGACGTACATCTCCAGTTGGTGGATTTGTCTTATGATTAGTTCCATGACGTCTTTGCTTTTGATAACGAGGACGGGCTTGGAATAATTTTTGTAAAAGAATCGTGAATAACATCAACTACAAGGAAGAATGCTCACACTCACTAGTTACCTGAAGTCAACCCTTGCCTTTCATATACATTTTTAGTCATTTTCATTCACATTTAATTTCCAAACATTTTCCGGAAATAATTACAAAAAACAAATCTGTTTGATGGGGTCATATTTTTAAGTCATTTCGGTTTTCCTTGCTAAGAATTTCCTTTAAATATCAGTAAAATTGAACTTTGAAATAGTAAAGTTTCTCAGTTGTGAAGAGAGATCTAAACAGGTACATAATTACCAAATAGGAACGAGGAAGACTAAGGAACGCGAAGAATTAAAAACTAATCGCAGATGGCGAAGTT